CTCTACCCGGGTGTCCCTTCAGATAAGCAAGAATCCTGTCAACTGCCTCCCAATGCTGGACTCGTGGAGCATGCATGTATTGACTTACTACACTTGCTGCATAGGAAATGTCTGGTCTTGTCATACACAAGTATAGCAGCCGACCCACAAGTCTCTGATATCTCCCAATATCCTTTACTAGTTCACCTTCTAATGCATTGATTTTATGGTTCTGATCAATAGGGTTGTTGATTGCCTTTGTTTTAAGCTTCCCTGTCTCTTGAAGGAGATTCAAGACATACTTCCTTTGAGAGATAAAAATTCCATGTTTTGATCTTGCAACTTCAATGCCTAAGAAGTATCCCAGTTCTCCAAGATCCTAAATTTCAAATTCTTTATGTAGGTTCCTTTTCAGACCATCAATCTCACTCAGATCATTCCCGGTGACAATTAGGACTGACACCAAAGATCCCCTTCGCTTCACAAACAAGGTGTGATCGGATTGAGTCTGAATGTAGCCAAAAGCAATCAAGGCCTTTCTGAATCTGTCAAACCATGCTCTAGGAGATAGTTTCAAGCCATAAAGTGACTTCTTAAGCCTGCATACCTTTCCCTTTTCAGTATCATTGTAAAAACTAGCAGGAAGATCCATATACACTTCTTCTTGCAGATCCCCATTTAGGAAAGCATTATTCACATCAAGTTGAAACAAGGGCCAAGAGTATGAGGCAACAAGAGAAAGAAGTATCCGAACAGAGGTCATCTTTGCAACTGGTGCAAAGGTCTCTAAGTAATCAATGCCATAAGTCTGTATGTACCCTTTTGCAACAAGCCTTGCCTTGTACCTTTCTATACTTCCATCTGCCTTATATTTTACTATGTAAACCCATCTGCATCCAGCTGTCTCCTTGCCTTCTGGTAGATCCACAATGTCTCATGTCTGATTCTTAATCAAAGTTGTCATCTCTTCCTACATAGTTGTCTTCCACTCAGGTTTGGAGAGAGCCTCACTAACACCCTTGGGTATAGACCCTGAATCAAGAGAGGAAAGAAAAGCACGGTAGGAAGGAGAAAGTCCACTGTAGGATAAGTACTGTGAAATACAATGAGCAATACACTTTTTCTTCCCTTTTCTGAGAGCAATAGGGAGATCAAGGTTATCTGTAACAGTGTTAGTAGGATCAATGGGAACTGAAACAGTAGCGGGACCAAGAGGAATACCTGAATCCATGTCATCCGAATCTAGAGTCTCTAAGGAATCGACAGGAAGTGATGTGAGTTCTGCTGTAGTGGGATCAACTTCCTTGTGAAGTCTCTGTCGTAAGTAATGCTGAGAAGCATAACGCAAAGGAGGTGGCAAGGTAGGTGACACAGGGTGGTGGTCAAGCACAGGAGTAGACACATGGACTGGAACTGGGAGAGGAATAGACTGCTGACTCACTTCCCCAAAACACTCCCCCTGAGAAAGATTCTTTGAGAAGAAGTACGTGGATTCAAAAAAAGTGACATCCATGGTAACATACCTGTTAGCGTAGGAGGTGTGTTTCAGAACTCAGTCAGCGATAAGGTAAGAGATTTCAGTGCATGATATCTGTTATGGATTAAATAGGAGGTGTGTTTCAGACCATATGCTAGGGTTTATGCTGGTTTCTTTGTGCATTTTGAAGGAAGAGATATGATCATATAGTGGTGAGATTTCAGGTAGTTGTAGGGGTAGGGTTTGTGGTGTGAGCACACTTTTCAGCAACAACAAGTGCTGAAATCARTGTGACAGGTGTGATTTAGGGTTTGTGGTGTAAAGAGCACACATTCCAGCAACAATTAGTGCTGTAATCAGTGTGATAGGTGTGACCTAGTGGTGTGTAGTGTGYAGATCTCAGTGATAAYARAATTCAGCAAGTGTRCAGAATTGGTGATAACATAATGGGAGACAATAATGATTATAAACCTAGTGTGATGGTGCCTACAGACTACCTGAATGTTCAGATGACCTCCATTAAGTTAAATGGAGAGAATTATGTGCCTTGGACTAAATCCGTTGAAGTCTTTCT